GTGGGACACAGTCCCACTCACAGGCTGGCACTCTTGCCTGTGCTTCCCCTCCCCCGAAGGCAGAGGTAGAGCCAGGCACATGTGGAGACAGTCACCTGGCAGAGGAGAAGGGTTGAGGTAGCTGGGTTTCTCCTCTGACCTGCACCATGCGAAGGGAGCCGGGTGTGGCTCTACCTTTACCGCGAAGTTGAAAGACTGGGCATCCCACGATTTCGGTCTTGAAGGTCCTCATCGGGACGTGGCAAATGAGGTGTTTCTCACACTTCAGGGATGTCTCAGTTGCCTCAGTTTTCTGGGGGCAGTGCTGGATGTTTGAGGACAGCCCCTTAACTTGTGACTTCCCCCGTGATCTCCCGGGAGGCAAGAGAGGAAATGAATCAGTAAGCACTTCTCCCAGCCCCCCCTTTCCTTCCTCCTTTTCACGAAGCCTTCGGGATAAACTGTTGGAAAAAGGGGGCAACACGTGGGGTTTTGGATATGAAGAAACCAGGATCGAAGTAGGCGTCGGTGTCCTTCTTGCTCGACAAAGCTGTCCTGGACACATGGCCTGTGGGAGGGCATTTATTTGTCACTCACTCCGCACATCACAGCCAAGTGCACATAGAGTGTAAAATGGGACCTTCTCATAATGACAAGTAAAGGTGGAAACTGGAAACGAAGAGCCTCAGCCAGCTGGAAAAAGGGGAAACGTTTGGGTTCGCGGATTGGCACCCACTTGCATCTAGTGAAGGCCTGATTTCTCTTGGTTTGCCTAGATGATTCCTTTCAAGGAATCACTTTTTTGCACGATGCCTTCACTGGTGGCCATGCGCACCTGGCCGCCAGGGCCAGGCGACCGGGCCGCACCAGCCTGAGCTGTGGCTTACACACATACACTCCCTGGCAAGAAAACATCGTGTGCCATGACCCTGCACAGCATTCCCCGGGCTGCTCCACGGAGCACACCCTTGGACCCCACGGAGCATGGCACTGAGCTAGCAAAGACCTGGGGACGCTTGTTTGTACTTGAATCAATAGCTTCTCTGCCAACTATGGGAGGCTGGGTCCACACACAACCAAAACCGAGCGTTCGGAGAATTGCGCTCACAACACTAAAAGTGACTTAGAGACCCTCTAGCCTAGCTTGCCAAAAGGTCAGGTAGGGCAGCTTCTTTCTATAGAAGGTAGACAGTCAACCTTCTACCCCTGTTTGTACCACCTAGACCCAATCAACGGCCCCGGATGGGTTTGAGACGTTGCTTAAAAAGAGGACAGGCAGGCGTTGGGCCACATCATACATCTTTAACACCAAGAGCAGTGTCCTCAAATGGGGACTAATCGGTACACCATTGCCCATCTCGGCTTTCCAGGCAGTCTTTCCTCCTCTCTCTCTTTCTCCATCCTGCCTTCCTCCCTCTATTCCAGGCCCTCTTCCTCCTCTAATCTCTTTCCTTCTTCCTTCCTGTGCCTTCCTTCCTTCCCTCCTCATTCCTCCTCCCTTTCCTTCTTCCTTCTTTTTTCTTTCCTTCTCCTTCTCCTCCTCTTCTCTATTTTCTTATTCTCTTCACTCTTCTTCCTTCTCTTCCTTCCTCCTTTCCTTTCCTCTTCCTTTCCTCTCCTTCTCTTTCATCTTGATGCTCTTGACTTGTCTTTCCTTGTGGCTCAGGATAGGGTGTGGTTGGAATTGGACTGGAAAATCATAACAAGATGCATGCTGGAAACTCCAAGCACAGGATGCTGTCCTAAGTGGCCCCAGGCACTATATGCCATCTAAGCTACGCATGTACAAGTGGACCTTCTTGAGTATTTCTTATACTTCAGAGATAGATATTCCGAGGGAAATTCCAGTTTCTATGAAGAGCAGCAGTTCCGTTTAAGGTGACAGTGCGGAGCAAAAAGACCGGATGTTCACGTTCAAACTTCTGCTCTACTCTGATCCCTGGTCTCAGGACAGGAGCCAAAGTGTCCTTCCCGGGACAGTGCAAACGGAGAAATAATTATACTGTATTTGCATGGCTCACCACTGAGCCTGTCAGCCTCCAGTATGATGAGGTATCTCTGACTTAATTATTCAATAAGTAAAGAATGCTGAGAAAGGAATTTCGACAGCTCACAGTGTTTCAGGGCTATGCCAACTTACATAAGGAGAATACAAGCTTTAAGCATCAGTTTTAACATGTCGTATTTTTTGCTTGCCTTTCTTATTGGTTTTTAAAAGAGAGACCTTCGGAGAGTAGTAGATGGTTGAAATTGAGATTTCTATCCTAAAAAAATAATAATTCTAGACAGTCACGTACAAGAAGGACTTGCAGACGTAGGACCGCTCTCTACCCACTAAATAAGAATATTTTAAAGATTTTAATTCCCAGCTCTTTGCAAATACTTCAGAGGGCTCGTGCCACTGATTATTTGCATTCACTACAGAATATTGTTTTTACCTATAAAATCCCAAGAATCTTCCACCATAAATACATATGAAAATATATGTCAGACTAGCTTCTATCACATTTGTGTTTCTTTTCCTAGAGGGGAAAAAAGCTCTGTTCCTGTAATGTATTCGCATCATTTAATTTACAAGCTGGTTCATTTCAAGCGGGATCATCTATCAGCAGAGGGGTGAATTTGGGAGCTCTCTCTGACGACAGATTTCTCTCTAAAATGCAAAATGATTTAGATAGTGGGGCCTGCGCTCAACTTCATTTGCTGGAGGTTTTGTGCTTGTTGTTGGGTGTCAGGTATTTCCACTGTTTGGTCTTTTAACATAACTTTCTGCCCACCTCCCTTGTTTAAAAAAAATGCAACACTAGGATCCACCTCCAAGGCTAATGCCTTATCTCATGCTCCATGACTTGCATTGATCCTGGTGATCTTTGACTCAGCCAAGTCTTTTGACCACCTTGGGAGCGCTACAGAACATATTTCCCCTAGAGCTTTCCAAGTTTCACAGCATGGCTCGCCTTGGCCAAGAACGAGGTCTGGCTCTCAAAGCAAACCTCATGTAAATGTGAGCTTAGCAGATGAACTGGGGACACCAGGTGTCAGTGAAGAGCCACAACTCTGAGAAACAGAAATTTTGATTGCTATGTTGAGAATGAATAATGGGAGAAAAGCTAAGGATTGCCTTTTCTCTACTTTTTTTTTTTTTTCCCTGTAAAACTCTCGAGCTGAAGTGATCTCATTTTCTTAGGCCCTCTCTCACCTCCTTCTTGCCCTAGTTCATCATCTTTAGGATCAAAGCTCCTCTATGATTTTCTAAATCTTTTAGAAAACTTGTAGGGACATCCAGTAATCTTGGGCCAGCGCAAGGCAGCTTTGCAACCCTCCACCTTCATGCCTGGGTTTCCCTCTTGTGTAACGACACTAAGAGATTGTTGAGTTGTTCTGGAGATCAGTACCAGATTCCTGGATAGAGATTTAGTTTGATGTTGCCCTTTATACTGATGCCCTCATTTACACACCATTTCCTAATGCATATAAACCTGGCCCTGTGAGGTTCGTGGACATTCACTGATGCGGAGACGGAATAGAGCTCCGAGGAGTTTGGAGATCATCTAGTTTCATTTGGGACCTTTACATTTGAGAAGCGGGGGCCCCGAGACATTAAGTGACTTGCACGCGGTCTCCCAAAAAAGTGAGTTAACCAAAGCCAGATTGTCTTTCTGTAGCTTGTGGCCTTTCACCACTAAAGAGAGTCGTCTGCAGCTAACTTACGCGTCTTGCTTTCTCATCTGTTTGCACACTAACACACCACGTTCTCTTTCCTCCAATGTGCTTTCTAGCATTGGAGAATCACACCCCATGGATCTCTTTGACCTTTTTCTCAAGCTTCTTGGACCGAAGCTCTTCTAATGCGGAGCCAGAGTGGCCCAGACATTCACAAAGAAATGGGCCCCCATCTACCAGTACCCTCTCCATTTTTCTTTTCCTCTAATATGCCCCCCCCCCACCCCTTGCCAATTAAAGCGCTCAGTCCAAACTAACGTGCGCATTGCTATCAGAAGTTATCAGGACATTACAGAGATTCCCCACACCAGCCAGATCAAATCTGAAGTTAGAGCGTGGCCCAGAACAGGACGGCAACATGTATAGACGTGGAGGAAGTCACAGCAAAGGCGCTAATGAGATTGGAACAAAACAAACACATTATAACACGTTCACTGTTCCACAGCATCTGTTTAGTTACAGAACTGACAAATTACCAGGACACCCCTCGTTTAGAAAGGGGCTACCTAGCCAACCTCCAACCAGCCATTTAGTCGCTTATGTGCTCACTGGTCTGTCTGAATCTTCTTGCTGCTGGAAAAGATTTGAGTATCAGATCCTAAGGACACGTCAGGGCAGATCTGTTATAAGTGTTAGTCTTACTGATGAGATTATCAAACAAGACAGCAAGACAAAACTATTAGTCTGATATTCGTTTCATAAAACTTAGTGTATAAACAATGTATTGTTAAATATTGACAACAGGTTTTTCCCAATGATTTGAAAACAATATTATGGCCACCTTTACCATTTCCTTTTAATCTCTCTGTCTCTCTGTTTCTTTTTTTTTTTTTTT